CCTTTCAGAATCACCATTTAACTATTTTAAAAATGTACATATCATAAGACATATTTATGACTTTCCAAAGGAATTCTGCCAACAGCACAATCAGGAACTGTCAATTTCTTCATTGGATCTCAAAATAGACTAAACTAACCTTTAGTCACAACACAGTGGCAGACCAAATATGGAAAAATTTAAATGTGCAAAGTGACCTCAAACATACTCACCTCAGTGCCACGTAGGTCACGAGGAAGATATACATCATCCTTCATCTGTACTGTAAGCCCAAAATCCACCAGCACGGCTTTAGCAGACATCAGCACAATATTACTGGCTGCAGGGACAAACATGTAATTTAGATAATGTCTAAAACACATCAAAGCTAAAAAAAACAACATTCAGAAATGTGTAGCAATATTTGAGATATAAAATATAGGTTGTTCAGTTCTGGTCTGTGCTGCACAGCGAGACAAATGCAGCAAGGTGTTGTTTTCCAGAAGCAGAGTAAGGTCATTACTCATGGTAAGGGTTGAATATTTGAAAAACAGATCATCGGAAGTCTCAAAACCCCCTTTTCTTGCTCTCCCTCCATATTTCACACTACTTGAAATAACATGTTTCCTCTCCAAGCCAAATGTCAGAAAGCCAGTCCTCAAAACCACAAAGCAGAATACTGTGATTGGTCACTCATTTCACTGAATCTCTCTGTCTCTTCATGTTACTCTCTCAGTCTTACTAAAAGCATTATTTAGATCGGTGGCATGTTGAATACACCCTTGAAAGTAATACATTTGAGCAATCGTGTCTGTCTTCTTCCTGCTCTCGCTCTCCTGACTGGAAATTCCAGACGCTTGAGAAGTCATAAGCTGCAGCGCTGACTGACTCCTGCGTATGACTAAACAGCAGCAGAATGCTGTCGGTCACAACCCCACCATATTAAATTATGTTGTGTTCCTCATCTTTTTAAGGGCATAAACTAAAAACGCTTCTCTAGCTTGTGGTCAATGCTCTGTCAATCATTTAACATTGCTGCTTCCTCTTGATGGCCTCATTTCAAGTTCCGTCAAATAAGCTAAATACCTTCCTTGACCACATTATCATTATCTGATTTACCTACAGAGCATCTTTGTTGCATTTAGGGGGAAAATAACAGTGGTTTGGTGTGTGTGGTTTGCAATGAAAAAAAGTCCTGAACTGCTTTTGACCCTTCTTTTGAAATGTGTTTTGAAAATTCAATTCAGAGCAGCTGAGGTAAAATGGTCATAAACAACCTGTTTGGCAGGAAACTGCAGTGATATTTCAGAAAAAAATACCTTTATGATACAATCCAAAGCACTTACGTTTGATGTCGTGGTGTATAATCTTGTGAGAGTGCAAGTACTCCAGGCCTCGCAGAACCTGCTGAGAGACCCAAATGATCTCGAACTCTCTCATTGGACCACAGCTATCCAGCTTCTCCAGAACCGAGCCCCCTTCACCCGCTTCCATGAACAAATGCACCGTCTGCTCCCACAGCAATGCCCCATACAGCTCTGCTATGTTTTCGTGCCGGAACCGGGCTTGGATTTCCACCTCTGCAGGCTTGAAATGTTCCACAGGAATCTGGAGAGAAAGTACACCTAACTTATACATTTCAGACAGTATGGAAGTGCACCAAAAATGAGCTTGCTCATTATACTTATATGTATAAAAGATGCTATTTAAATGGGTCATATGACATAAGAGCTTGTAACACTCCAAAGAGAAAGGAAAAACTTAAATCGCATCATATGACCCCTTTAAGCATTCACATATGCAAATAATTTGACAAGAAAGACAAAATACAGATGGCTTAGAGAAGGTGGAAGCAACCCTGTAATATATGTGCAGTCTTTCTATTTATGATCTACATATTTCCCCATCTATATTCATAATATTAATTACAAGAATCACACTACCACACCAATTTCCTAAGTACTGAATTACTAGTAGTTACAGATTGATATATACACCAGGTTGATTATATATTTCTCTGTTTTGGGTGTTATATTATTTTAATATATTAATATATTATATTAAAATATATTCATATTATATTCATGCCCACTTAAACAATGAACAGTATTTCAGAAATCTACCAACATTTTCGTCAATGGATAATGCAAATTTTTTAGCAGATTTTGAGAAAAAAATTTTGTAAAATAAATTAATTTACATTACAAAATAATTTAATAGATTTAGTCATTTTATAGATTATTTTTAATCAGATTTTATTGCATATGCCAGTGTTAGTGACAAAAGAATGTCTTTGTCATTGAGTCTGCAGTTAAGTGTCTCCAAGACTCACATAGAGCAGCGTTCCTGAATAAATCACTGTTTTTGAACGAATCGGTTGAGTGAATGATGTAATGACTCACTCATAAAGAATAAGTGTTCTTGAACTAATCGGTTAAATTAACGATTCAATGACACATAAAAGTCGCCACATAATGCTACATCAACCAACAGTTATAATAATTGATTATACAGGACATCAACCACCCTGACCCCTAATTACTAATTATTTGATCAAAACGTTAAAGGCCACAATAAGAGGGTGAATATTTCTGTACAAGTCAGCAACAACCGGTTAAGCTGACCACAAGTTTGAAACGTTAGACATCTGCACTCTGCCACACAGTTGAGACACTGTCTCTGTGGGCTGCATGTTTCCACGGGGGTGTTCCTGTCAGCTTCCTGTGTGCGTTACAACCATTCACAGTTTCTGTTCAAACACTGCATGCTGCACACTGACCCTCTAAACATTTAAAGGAAATTGGGTTATTTCCCAAAAGTGCTCTTCCCCATTTCAAACTATTCTCTTATTGCTGCTACAGTTTCTACAAGAAGTGTTTCTCTTTTCAGAGCCCTTATTTTTCCATTGTACATAAAGCCTTGTTGGCCTCACATGCTGGTGCATAAGATCATCACAAGGACACATCATACAGTATCATGTATCTTCTGTCTTCTATTTTCACGTGAGGAGTGTATGTTTACTTAATGACTGACTTTATGCTTGAAATCTTTCCTTTCTGCAGTTATTAAATTGTTTTCAACATAGTGTTTTGAACAAACAGTACAAAATATGATTTTGCTTTACTCATAAAAGAACACAGATTCCCAGAAGGGAAGTCATGTCCATTAAAACCTCCTAGTGGAATATAAAAACAACTACCTTTGCCAAAAAAAAAAGGTTGAGATTCATTAAACAAACATTCTCCGGATTCCCGGACTTACTAGTTTGCATGCCATTCGCTTCCGAGTTTTGATGTCCTGAGCTAGATGGACCTTCCCAAATGAGCCTTTGGGAACATGTCCAGGGCCTGGAGGCTTGTAGGTTAGTTTCCACGGAAACAGAAGGACATCCAAGTCAATGCGATAATGCCCCTCCTTAATGACCATATCTGTCTGCAGGAACAAAGCAGGGCGTTCATGAGAGTAAGGCTATGACAACTTGTAAAACAAGTAAACCCTCCTTTACTTGCTGTATGTACAAATATGAGTTGCTTTGATTGAGCCAAAAATCTCACAGTGTAAAAAATTCATTCACATAATGCTTTAACATTATACTGTATATTGCAGCTGTATATGTTATGGATCTGTCAAAATAACCACCAATAGAGCTTACCTTGTTTAGCAGAACCCCCATTTCTTCACCCACCTCTAAGAGAGAGGAGGACGGTGTGTTTGAAATCAAATTTACAAAGTCCAGGAGGTCAGATGCTGTCCCATAACGGACCTTTCCGGGATTCTGCACATGTGAGATTAAATCCTGTGGCGTCTCCTCAATCTCATCCATATCTTCTTGCGAGAAACTTTCCTCAAATGAAACTACTGGTTCCACCTCCTCGCAAACACAGAAGAAATTCTCTGCCTCTTGGATGAAGTCTTCAATGTTCATGTGAGCAAGAAGCAGGTCTATACCAGCATTTTCATTCTTGTACTCCATCCTTGATTGAATCCTACAACAGAATGTTTGATCATTAGAAACAGGACACTAACTAATGTACTTCAGTGCATGCATCCATGCTGTTTTGCACCCATATGTATGTTTAAAGTGTGGTCAGGTGTGTTTCCTGATCTGCTTGCTTGCTCTATTTTCCTTGCAAGTGAGGGGTGGTTTTCAGGGGGTGGGAAACCCCGAGATGGGCTTTCTTCTTCAAAACAAATGGCAGTTAAAACATTTAGCCTACATTGAAATTTGAAGATCTTTTGAAGGTCCTTAAGCACAAGCTCACAAGTACAAATAAGATTTGTAAGAAATGTGAGACTGACTGTCTGTTTTGACATACCTCCACAAACCCAATTTACACACACACACACACCTGTTGGTATATGTGATTTACGGAGACTCTCCATAGGCGTAATGGTTTTTATACAGTACAAACTGTATTTTCTATTGCCATACACTAACCCCACACTTAAACCTACCCCTCACAGAAAACTTTGTGCGTTTTTAGATAAAAAAAAAAAACACCATTTAGTATTTTTTTAAGCTTTTTGAATTACAGGGACACAGAAAGTGTCCTCATAAACCACCTTCATATTGTAATACTTATGTTATACCCATGTCATTATACAAATTTGTGTCCTCATAAACCACATGAACCTGCACACACACACACACACAAAGTGCTGAAAAATTCTCATCAACCTCATCTCCTAATACATACTTAATGTGGAATAAAAGCATGTGTAACAACGACGACAACAATAACAACAATAATCATTATTAAAATATACTGATGCTCAGAAACACTGACTAGAAATAGGCAGCTGACAAGGTTTTCAGTCACTGCAAATGACCAACCTGCTTGTCCTGCTGTGTGCATTTCAAACTATGATAATAGTACTAACTGCTCGACATAAACAAAACGATATAATATCTATAAAATACCAGTCGTTTGCTTACCTCTCGGTCAGAGTGATAACAGCAGGGCACATGCTCACTGATTGTCCATAGTTCCCACTGAAGCTCTACAGACTGACGCTCGCAGATGAGAGGAATGTGAGCCGCGCCTCCGCTCGGCGTCTACGTCAGCTGCGGTTTCGTTTTCTCTTTTCAACGAGAGGTATTTTCTCATTGAGAGGTCACCTATCTGCTTTAATTTGGCCACAGTCTCCTATCAGAATGTTCGGTGGAAGAAGAAGGGTGTCATTCGCTTTCATCTTCATGATACGCAAGAGAAAAAGTTGCACATTGTAACAATCTAGCGGTAGCAAAGAAAAGCATAAGCTAGTATGAACGCTGTAAAGAAAGACCCACACGTCTGTGCCCTTTGATATGAGCTTAAAAACGTCATTGCTCTTTGTCAATCTCAAAAAGTGTATGCAAATTAGTGAAGTCCGCAGCACTATAGGTGCCGTTTTGTTCGTGAACGAATCGTTTTAAATGAATCTTTTAGATAAGTAAATCGTTTTCGTTCATTACTGTGACTCGTTCGTGAATGATGTAAAGTGACATCAAGTAACGTTACACTTGCAGAAATTATCACTAAACGAATCAGTGAACGAGTCTTTTGGTGAACGAGCCACGGGAATGAACTGCTGTGTGTCTTGCTTTTTTTAAAGAAGTAAGCTGGCCGTTATGTTTCCATAATTCAATGTTTTAGGCGTGTAAATAGCTCACTTTCACTTGTGAATGAAATTAATGAACTGTGACTCGACTGACGTGACGGCATCTAACTTTTCCACGACATTCTAATTTATTGAGATGCACCTGTACATCATAACATGGGAACTTGCAGAAAAAGTCACTAAAATGAATCAGTGAACGAATCCTTTGGCGAACAAATTCAAAGTATTACTTTTTTAAATTAGTCAAAATCTCCAACACTATTTTCAAGTAGGCATTTTCAAATTTGAGGATCCCCCGGATTCAGCCATAGCTTGACATTTTCGGGCTTTTCCAAATTCGCAACGCAGGACTGCAGGTCCGTTCACAGCCACCGTGGAGGCAATGTGTACGCACGCGCCCATCTCAAATCAACAATGGCGGCCTCCTCTGTCGTGTCTAGGTTACGTTTAAGGGGGTTCGGAGGGCTTGATAGATTTGGTTTTGGTTTGGAAACTCAAACGCTTGGAAGATTCACCTCGACTACATCGGCAATCAAAGCCCAGACAGAGAACAAGACAGCGAAAGCAGGTAACATTGTTTTTCTTTAGATATGTAGACATGACATTTAGCAAGTGATCTCAATTAAGTATTGGGAATGACAGCTGTAAAACGTGTTCATGTTTTCATCTGCCATTTTATGTTAAAAGTAAATACCAAGTTGTCTTCTCATGGTAAAATAATAATCGTAATAGAAATAACTAATTCAAGCCTCTTTCGACTTGCCCCATTTTCGTTTTAATCACGCAAGCCAAGGAGAGTAAAACATTTCAAGCAATCCAAGAGGAGAGAAGAGAACAAGCTGAAAGATCGGTTTTGATCAGCTGTCCGTCTAAGATCAACGAAAATACGTTTTTAGATGACCTGTCTAAACATGGGACAATCAACAAGCATTTCTTCTACAATAGCTACGTAAGTGTTGTAGAACTATACAGTTAGAAGTTTGATATCTAGAAGTCATGTGATGCTTGATCACAAAGATCCGAAAGTGATTGAATGATTGTTTATCATGTGATTCTGTTTCTGTAGGGAGCATATGCAGTGGTTGAATTCTCCAGCAGAGAGAGCATTGCCTCGTTGAAGGAGAGCACTAATATACCAGCTGTTGAGCATGAAGCTGCAGTGCCTTTCAAATCTCGCCTGCTGTCATTAAAATGGCCAGGCAGTCAGTCGAGCAATCATCCCATGCCGAAGTTCAAAGTGCAGTCCCCTCTATCCATCAATGAAATCAGCCAACTGCTCTCGGAAAAGGACAGTGTAAGTCTTCCGTGTGTGATACGTTCATTTTTAAACCAAGACATATGATTAGTGTAATGGAAAAGGATAAAAATTGGAATGGGAGATGTGTTCAGCGGCTCCTTTTTTATGTTTGCTAGATGGAGCTTCAAATATGCATCTTCTCTTCACTTTTCTTCCACAGATAGATGAGCAACTGCAGTGTCTGACAGAGGCCTTAGAGCTCACAGAAGAGAACGTCAGGCTGCGCTTTCTTGTTTGTTCTCTACTTCAAGACATAGCTGGAGCATATTTCCCAGAATGCATCATCAGGCCTTTTGGCTCCACTGTCAACAGCTTTGGCAAACTGGGCTGTGATGTTGACATGATTCTGGATCTCGACGGCATCTATGCAACAAGCCAGAAAAAGGTCAGTGCTGTGGACTCCTTAAAGGGGTCATATGACGTTGCTAAAAAGAACATTATTTTGTGTATTTGGTAGGGATGTAACGATTCACTCAACTCACGATTCGATTCACGATTTTGATTTCACGGTTCAATTCGATTCACGATTATTATAATTTTTTTTAACAAAATTAGATTTAAGACATTATAAATTAAATGTGTCCTTTTATATTTGCTTGGACAAAATGCTGCACATTTCTTTGTGAAATTGATAATACTATAATAATATAATATAGCACTTGCATATTACTGCTCTTTTGTTGGTTTTGATTGCTTCTATTGTCCTCATTTGTAAATCGCTTTGGACAAAATTTCAATATAATGTAAATGTAAATAACAAAACTAAATTGAAATTTTAAAACAAGCCCCAAATCAAATAAATAAGTAACACAAATAAAATAAATATCTTCATATAAACAAAATAAGGCTTTGTCTGTGCTCTTTCCTTTTAAAATTAGAGGCAACCACTGCATTTTAATCTGGATCCAAACAAAGATGCTGCATACATGCAACATGAGCAGTTTTTAAACTACATTAGATTGTATAGTTTCGAAATTTGATGCAAAAACAGAATGGTTTGACTTCAGTTTTGTGAAACTATAAATAAGAATATCTGCATGAAACAGCAAAGCTGAATGAGATGCAGATTCACTCTCTCTCTTAAAGCGCTTCCTGGTTTCTGCTGTAAACAAAGCAGCGCTGAACTTATGAATAGAAGCAAGATGAAAAGAAAAAATACCATCTAAACTTTTCTAAAGACAGTAAGTTCCCCTCAGACATGCATTCATATAAACTCCTACACCTAAATGAATCAACCGATTTGAATCGTTACATATTTAAATCGTTTTTTAACCGGCTCGCAGTTAATCGTTACATCCCTAGTATTTGGTGTAATGAAATGTGTTTATGCGGTTTAAGGTAAAAAAAAACACATTATTTTCCACATACTATACATTATTGTTTCTCCTCTATGCCCCGCCTTTCTGAAACGCGTCGATTTTTACAAAGCTCATCCGTCTGAAAAGCGAGGTGTGCTGTGATTGGCCAGCTATCCAGTGCATGTGATTGGCCGAATACCTCGTGTGTGACGCAAATGTTACGCACCTACCATATTGTGATGCTGTGTTCCGGCCGGAGCGATGATTCAAAAACATGACAACCCATTATAAACGAGGCATTCGTTGCATCCAGTGGGGACATAATTATGGATTATAATGACTTTTTATATCATTTATATTGATGATTTTGAATCATCAGTGGCAAATTCTTTAAATATAAAAAACGTACTTACAATCTGTGAGTCAGAACAGCCGGCATTGTAGTCTACTCTACCAGGATCAGTAAACAGTCCTCCATAAAATGTGCTGCACACATCTGAATATTTGGGTTGAAGTGTTCTGGAACAGTGTTGTAAATACAACTTAACCACTGATTTCTAGTTGTGTCCATTTTTGGAAGGCCAAACAAAGTAGTTTGCTTTCACAATGAAACACAGCGTCAAACACGGCGGCCTTGAGTGAGCAGAGGCCGGGGGCTAGAGTGAGGCACAACGAAACACACAGTGCCTTCACGACATGGCGGCGGCAACAACAATACTACAGCGGGAATAAAAGTTATGCCTTCTTTCTTTGCGTGAACATTTGGGGTGGTGTTATGCAAATCTTCCCAGATAGTGACGTAGGCATGTGGGGGTGTGTTAAAACGAGCCGTTTTAGGTAGGTGTGGCTTAACTTTTATAAAGAATATCTCTTTGGATTTGAGACTTTAGTCTTTGCAACTTTACAGATCTTCTTTATGCACCAAGAGCTTGTAACACTCCAAAGAGAAAGGAAAAATTTAAATGGCATCATTTGACCCCTTTAAGTAGATTAAATCTAAATGGGATAGTTTACCCAGAATTCTGTCTTTTGCTGATCCTCCTTATCCTTGTGTCATTGCAAACCTGAATTTTGAATAATGTTTGTAACCTAACAGCTTTGATTTCTAAATCAGACAAAGACCACTTAGACATTAATCAAAATACCTTATTTTTTTTGTTGTTCTGCAGAGTCAAGTCAGTCATATAGTTTTAGGAATTGTTATAGTTTTAGTTTTGGAATCACATGAGAATGAGTAAATGATCACAGAATTTTCATTGTTGGGTGAACTGTCCTTTTAAGTTCCCCTTCAGTATGAAGAGTGAAAATCTAATTTGTTGTTGTTTTTGCCTAGTTACTGATTAGATTTTTTTTTTATATTTGAAAGACAACTTTTATAGTACTATATAGCTGTCATTGTATTGTCATTAAAAATATTAAAATTGCATGACTAAATAATAAAATTTCAATGTTCTGGTCAATTTTAAGCCATTATGTCTACAATTAAAAATATGCATTCAATTTCTACAATTAATGAAGGTTAGAACAATAGCAGTGATATTTTTTTAATTCATTGATTACTGTATGCAGTAATGTTTTAAACAGGGCTCAGGACTGTCTCTGGAGTACCAGGTGAAGAGAGGAGCATCAGAGCGGGCTGTGACCCAGAGTATCCTCTCAGTCATTGGGAAATGTGTAGACCAGTTCGGCCCTGGATGTGTGGGCGTCCAGAACATTCTCCAAGCTCGATGTCCTCTTGTCCGCTTTGCTCACCAACCCTCTGGCTTTCAGTGTGATCTCACTGCCAATAACAGGTAATGTCTGCTGAATAACGTGTCACATAATTAGCCATACTCAAACTGCGTCTTGAAATAAGACTTCAGAAGCTGAAAAGGAAAGTAATAATTAATCTCTGTAAGTCCCATACAAAGATTTTTTAAGTGTTGTTTTGTGGGCGTTAAGGGCTGCCAGCTTATTTTCTCACTCCCATTTATACTTCCCCAAAACAAAGGTCACTGTCATGCTTCCTTTTTAGAATGTGACGCACCAGTAATGCACAGAAATCTGCTCAGCAGTTTTTGTTGTGCTGAGACCCCTCATGGGGCAAGCTGTGGGTTAAAGAGGGGCACTGAATGTGCATAATGAGAAACACAGTCCTTTATTTGCCCTTGATGGATATATGGTGGAGGATGTATGAACACAGGAGTAAAAAGCCTGGGGAACATGAAATGCATTTATTTAATATTATTAAAAGTTAGTTGTTAGTTTTTTTTCTGAGGGACAGGATAATAATTTGCATTTGCTAATAACATGCATTTATACATGAATAATAGCAAAATATTTCGTTTGTATTTTTTGAGTTTTCTAGTCTGTGATTGTTTCTTAGTTACTCACTTATTTAGATATTTGTGTACTTATTTGAATTGCTTATTTTGATATGACTTAATAGTTTAAATATAAAAAAATGTGCGGTGCACTCCTAGTGGCACCAGATAGAACAGGTTTTCCAAATATTCTTCAATATTTTAATCAAACAGATAGTCCAGTCCTAAACCCATGTTTTGTTTTATTTGTGACCCTGGACCACAAAACCAGTCTTAAGTGTAAATTTTTCGAAATTGAGATTTTTCTATAATTTGAAAGCTAATTAAATAAGCTTTCCATTGATGTATGGTTTGTTAGGATAGGACAACATTTGACCGAGATACAACTATTTGAAAATCTGAAATCTGAGAGTGCAGAAAAAATCAAAATGCTGAGAAAATCGCCTTTAAATTTGTCCAAATGAAGTTCTTAGCAATGCATATTACTAATCAAAAATTTGTTTTGAAATATTTACGGTGGGAAATTTACAAAATATCTTCATGGAACATGATCTTTACTTAATATCCTAATGATTTTTGGCATAAAAGAAAAATCTATAATTTTGACCCATACAATGTATTTTTGGTTATTGCTCCAAATATAACCCAGCGACTTAAGACTGGTTTTGTGGTCCAGGGTCACATTTAACGTTCTCATGTGTGCAGGGTGGCGATGAAGAGTTCAGAACTGTTGTTTCTCTACGGCCAGCTGGACCCTCGTGTTCGGCATCTGGTGTTCAGTGTGCGGTGCTGGGCTCGGGCTCATAGCATCACAAGCAGTATTCCAGGAGCATGGATCACCAACTTCTCTTTAACGGTCATGGTAGTTTTCTTTCTACAGCAGAGGAATCCTCCCATACTGCCCACACTGGACCGACTGAAGGAGCTGGCAGGTATACACAGTTGTACTTTTACAGCCATGCTTCTCTGCAGTTTCTTGTCTATTGTACTATACTGCCATACAAAGGCAAAAGACAGTAACTACACATTTGGTTAAAACATATGACTGAAATAGGTTCTCTTATTATGTTCTGTCCTGTTACAGATGAGTTTGCCTCAAGTATGCTCGGATTCAGAGAAAGAGTGCGAAAATTAATATTGAAAAAAAAGAACTCAATTAAAATATCAAAAAGCCATTTTTTTGCAGTGTTGTTTGTACCTTTCTAAAGGTCAGTGGGGAAAGCTGTGGTGCCCCTTACTCTAAAAAACTGTATACCTTTTTTCATGTGACTGTACAATTTAAGTTGATAAATTAATCAAGAGTGACAGTAAATATTTTTACATTGTTACAAATTATTCCTATTTCAAATAAATGCTGTTCTTTCTAAGTTTTTATTAATCCTGAAAAATATGTATTAAGGTTTCCACAAAAAAGAAAGAAATTAAGCTGCACAACCATTTTCAAGAGTGATAATAATAAATGTTTCTTGTTATATAAGAATGATTTCTGAACGATCATGTGACACTAAAGACTGGAGTAATGGCTGCTGAAAATTCAGCGTTGCCTTCATGTAAATAAATGACATTCTAAAATATATTAAAATAGAAACCATTGATTTTCAATCATAATATTTCACAATATTAGTGTTTTTGCTGTTTTTGATCAAATAAATGCAACCTTGGTAAGCATAAGAGCTTACTTTCAAACACATTAAAACATCTTACAGAACCCAAACTTTAAAGAGTAATAGTATACATTTAGAATGAGCCCTACATATACATACATTCTAGATGGCTTGGATTATTTGCTTTGAACTAACATTTGATTTTACAAGTCAAATTGCCCTTTTATAAAACCTTGTAAATTATTTTCCATAGCCTCATAATTCATAGCTATGAGTTAAAAATTAAGCATTTTCTCAAAATGGCAGCTGTTGGGTAAAGTGTGTCAGATGTTTGGGAGTGCATCAGTGGCTCAGCTAATAGTGATTAGTATTCAGAAAATACGACTACACAATTCCTGTTTCAAATTTTTAAATTACAATCATATATATATATATATATATATATATATATATATATATATATATCCTGTATGTAAAACACATTAGACACTGCTGTCTCATAGTCTGTAAAGTATAGTGGCTCAGGATACATCACACTATATGACTCGCCTCTGAGCTGACTGTCTAAACACAATAATCGTTTTCTTTTTTTGGCCTGCCAGGGTCAAGGACAGTGATGCCACAATAGTGATACAGAATCCATTACTATATGGAGGCCGCTCAAATTATATTTATGCTTTGTGTGTGTGCACTTTCCAGGACCATCGGATAAGTGTGTCATTGAGGGTAATGACTGCACTATTGTCAGTGACCTTAGCAAGATTACACTGCAGCAGAACACAGACACATTAGGTGAGTGGAGCACATGGATTGTTTTCATAATTTACACAAACTTAATCAAAGGTTTTACTTTTTCACCTGTGTTCTGATGGCTCATTTCTGTGATGCTTTTGTAATGCATTCAATTTCTATTGAGCGTTAATGACACTGCTGTTGATTTTTCTGTTGTTTTAATGTTTTCATCCATAGAGAAACTGTTGCAGGAATTCTTTGAGTTTTATGGCAATTTTCCTTTCAACAAGACATCGATTAATATCAGGAAGGTGAGTCATCCACCGACGACATGAGCATCCATGCGCAATCTCCCAGAGGACACTGCTGACGTCTTAGCAGACCCTCCACAAACGCCCACCAGAGGGCAGTGTATATATATATATATATATTCAATTCAAAGAAAGTGTCTGTCTGCAGTGGACACAGATATGCAGTTGCAATCAAATCTATTCAACTCCCTTGACATGTAAGACGTTCTGTTGCCGTAAACAAAGGTTTAGGAAAACAATTCAACCAAAGCATCAATAAAGTATTTTAGAAAGTTTATTCATACACATTTGAGTGATTCTGAGATTTATGAAGTTGATGAAAAATGGAGAGAAAAAAAATCGAATTGGAGCAACATATTAATGTACAAAATGATTTAACCCTCAAATTTTGTAGAGAATCTTTTATTCTTTATCATGTCCAATAAGCGTTACCTCTAAGTGATTACAGGTTTCTGCTTACAGCAGCTCTCTACTGGAATCTTAGCCCATACCTCATGCAAAAGGTTCCAGAGATCACTGATAATCTTTGGTTTTCATGTCACCACTGCTTTCTTCAAATTCCACCAAATATTTAAATGAGATTTAAATCTGAAGACTGAACAGATCACTCAAGAACATTTCACGGCCAATCCCTTCATATTATTAAAGTCTCTTTAATAATGCAGTTAAAATTATAATGCAAAAAAATATTTTTGATTGCAGTGATTGGGGTCTATATGTCTGAGACCACTGGTGAAAATGCTTTTATTTTGTGTGTTTCCAATTTGATACTTTTTTTGTTGTTGTTTTTGTACATTAAATGATCAGTATAACAAACTGAGTGAAAATTCTGATGCAATTGATGTGTTAATACTGTGCCTTTAAGTGTCTGAAGGCTTAAATATCCTGCTTTATATCTCTTTCACCAGGGAAAGGAGCAGACCAAACCGGAAACGACAGCTTTGTATATCCAGAATCCATTTGAAACCACTCTAAACATTAGCAAGAATGTTAATGCAACACAGCTAGAACGTTTCGTGGCACTTTGTCGTGAAAGTGCTTGGCTTCTCCAGCAGAAGGAAATTCTTAACCAATGTCCGGACTCACCGTGGGGGTTCGCCGCACTTCTCCTCCCTTCAGTCACCTCAGGAGCAGGGGTGAAAAGTCGCAGGAAGAGAAAACTGGAACCAGCTAGCTCAAGAATAAAGAACCTGTTAGACTCTCTGAAGATTAAAGGTGGTGAAACTGTAGCAAAGAAAGGAAATGCAAACTCTAGTAGGTGATATGGTGAATAAACTTCACTCACCCTGAAGAGCACAGGAAAAGTCTTCTGAAGAACGAATTTAAATGGCCAACATGCCCAAAGAGTGGAACAAATGTGAAGTTTATGTATTTCTACAGTCAGAATCTGTAAGTCTTTTAAGAAATGTTTAAAAACTAAGCTCCGTTTCCGTTCTACTCAAGTATTTCACATGAAAGAGAAACTTTGTAGATTCCAACATGATATAACATAGGAAGAAGAGGTCCACTGCGGTCTTTGACTCCTAGAAAAATGGAGTTTAATGGTTGATCTGATGACAACAATCATTACGGTTTCCAGAGAAGTGGATCAGAACCTCTGAACACTAAACCGCTTGCATGGAACAGTTGTGATTGTTAGATCACACACAAACTCCATCTTCTCTGAGATGCCATATCAATAGTATTGATTCAATACAATGGCCTAATGACTCTATGTAAAAGTATCATGGTGTTGTGAGAAGTGCAAAAAGAATAAACAGTCACCGTAAACTAAATGTTTTATAAGATATTAAAACAAAGTAATGTTCAGACCATTACTGTTTGTTTCTTCTTGGGCTTCTTTATTTCTCATTTTACCTGAATGTTTCATAAACTACAGAAGCCCGTTTCTGCCACAGAGTGAACAAATGAGTTTTATTTCTCAATATTTATATCAGAATTGTGACTTAATTTCTCATAATTGGGACTTAATCTCCTCGTAAATGTGACTTTCTCACAATTGCAACTTTAAATCTCACAATAATAACTTTATTTCTCCTGATTGGAGCATCATTTCCTTGTAATTGTGACTAAATCTCACAGTGAGACTTGGCCTAACGTGATCTAAAATCTAATTCACACGATTGCAACTTTATTTCTCATAATTCTGACTTTATATCTGACAATTGTGACTAATTCATTTTGGCTCACAATGAAACTTGATATCTTGCGACGTTACCTTTTATCTTACAATTGCGACTTCTCGTCATTGAGACTATATCTCATATAAGGATGGCTTTCATAAACTGGAAGGTAAGTGTGAGAAGATGGATGGAACAAGACATGGGAAAGGTGGAGAACTACAGCACTTTGGTGAGGAGGGCAGGAAACAGTCAGCTGATGGAAAAAAGTTGTAGAGTGTTGGCAAATAGAGAGGAAATTAGTGTTTTGAGGGTGATTAGTAGCAAGGGAAGAAAACTATAGTGGTAGAAGATGAAAGAGTGTAAAGTCTGGGAGTGCTAGTTAGTTGTTTTAATGTTCATGACATTTTTACCACTCAACTTGAGGTTAGAGGTCAAAGAGTATAGTGGAAACCATTTATCTTAACCTTACCTCTTCCACTGAGAGCCAGAGAACTACAAATTTGTCACCTTTAAACCATCTGAACTGAATTTGAACTTCAGTGGCTGTATGAGAACCTGAGGAAGGTCATGGGCTCCTTAAGACAGGCAAAGGATGGAGTGATAGAGTAATAAGTACTCAAAATCCTTAAGCACTTACACAGGTGAAATCCCACCCAGAGCTGCTTAGTTGTGGATTTATCCGAACAGCTGAAAGACATTTGGACTTTATGAGCTTATATCTGCATGGCATCAATCTGTTCACAATAGTTTATCAGCTCAGTCATCTCTCTTTATACCTCATAAGGGTTCTTACAGTCACCGTATACACAGTGATGGCTTAGGACTTGCAGAGCTGCGAATGCTGTCTTTGTGCCCTCTAAAAGGTAAGTTTTTTTTTTATTGTTTGTATGTTTGTTAATACAACAAAGTAAATTGTGGAGGTTAAAATGCATGATCCTTCAGAAATCAGTCTAATATGCTGACTTGGTGTTCAAGAGGAAATTTTAATCTAAAAGTCAATTGACACTCATGATGAATTGAATGCATCCTTGCTGAATAAAAGTATTAATTTCTTTCATAACAAAACATAAAAGATCTTATTGGCCCTAAACTTGTGTGTGTCATAACCAGGTCTATTCATTTTGTAATTTGAATTATAACCACATATAAACCATTATTTTGCTTCGGCATGTGTTTGTTCGGCCTCTGAGTCAGCAGACGGGTTGAGGTTTCCGCTGAGTGTAAGACTCATCAGGTTATGCTACAATTTTTTTTTCTGCTGTCAAACTGAACAGCCCCCTTCAAATATAATGATTGGTATGCCCTGACTCCAAAGGAGATGTATTTTAGTCATATTCTCCAACAATTCTCGTACTACCCATAGAGTGTTTGCTTTTGAGTATGTACAAAATATATACGTACTTTCTTTCTCTCATTCCTTCTACTTATTCTTGGCTGTAGGTTTTTCTCCTGAGCCTGAAAGAATTTTGGAAAGGTGGCTTGAGGGTTTGAAAAACACAGGGGGGATTTGCAGGAAAAACAACATGAAATGAAAATGGTCTTGGCTTTGCCACCTTAGTGGAATTTCAGTCAAAACCTGTGCTATTTACAACATCTTCAGAGGATTTTGCTGGTTAGGTGCAATTTACTATTTTAAAGCCTTGAATGTTTATAAAATGCTCCAGATATTATTTTACACCTCTACAGGCAGTGATTAGTGTGGCATCTTTGACACTTTTATGATACTTTAATATGTCCACAGCTGATATGTATCAATTATTTGTGTGACTATAATCACATGATCTCAATCTCTCATGTAATAACATTCACACCCAGGTGTAATCTAACTTCCTTTTCCTTTTCAAGTCCATTGTCCACAGAGTGTGCTATAGTCCTGTTTTCAACTCCACAGCTTGTGCTTGTGCCAATCATTTGCCATGTAATACCAAAACACATCGAGTATGCTTCCCTCTGTCCTCTCTCAATCTTTCCCTGTCAGTGGAGGGTCACTGTCTCCAGATCTGTTCTTTGCCTTTCCACCTCCTGCTGTTTATTTTTCCCAAAGCACCTTGTGGATCAAGAGAATCTGAGAAAGCTGACACAGTTCTTGCACTGCACTGCACCAGCCAATAGCATTAGCTCAGTAAACTGGTGGAAAGTCCTGGCCTGTTGTTGTTGCTTTTAGCGAGCTCAAGCGTGCGCATACACACACACACACACACACACACACACACCAAAGTTCAGTTATCAGAATGGGCCTCTGTGTGCACCCACAGTTCCCATTGTTTTAGTTCTCTACCTCAGCAAGGCTTAATTGAGCCTGGCACCAAAAGTCGACCTCAGTGGAACGAGAGAGCTATGCCGGTCGATGGCATTTCTCTCTTTCTCTCTTGTCTGCTGTTCTGGTGCTGAGGGCCTGGCTGCAATACAGGCAGTACTAACACAATATGAGTGTCTGGAAAGGCCGCCATTTAAGAGGCCTGTCTCTATTTAAAACTTTAGTCAGTTTTACAGTTACTAATGATGGGTGAAAACCGCTTACTGGACCTTGCGTCTAGGTCTGGCTTGCCAGCTTTAAAAGGGTTTCTTCATATATTAGCATTGTTCATACTTATTCTCACCAAGGTTGCATTTATTTTTAATATTGTGAAATATTACTGCAATTCAAAATAAATATTTTCTATTTTTAATATATTTTAGAATGTAATTTATTCATGTCAAGGCAAAGTAAAGTTTTAAGAAGCCATTAATCCAGTCATCAGAGTCACATGAAATATCTTGAAAATTGTCTTCTGAAATCATTTTAATATGAAGATTTGGTGCTCAAGAAACATTTCCTATGTTTCACAGTTGAAAATGGTTGTGCTGGAAACCTTGATATTTGTTTATTATATTATATTATTACAGTTTTTAGAGGGGTTTTATTTTTGTTCTATGTCACTTTTTATGGTCTCTCATATCTTTGTTTTATCTACTAGACATACATCAGTTTATGTTCTGGAGGAAGCGTTGTATCTAAAGCTACACTCTAAAAAGTTAAAAAGGGACAAACCCAGCTATTGGGTTGTTTTGACCCAGCGGTTGAGATGTTTTGAACCCAAACGCTGGGTCAAAACAACCCAATAGCTGGGTTTGTCCCTTTTTAACCCAGTGCTGGGTTATATTTAACCCAGCATTTTTAAGAGTGTACCTGTTGGTTAGCTTGTAGTTCATTGTTGGGTTTAATGTAATTCTTGTGTTCCTAGTGTCAGCTACTCAAGCTTTTGGCTTTCATACTCAGAGAGTTTGCATATGTGACATTTATGTGCTTCCTGCACGATGAAAAAAAAACTTTGCTTTGATAATCCCATATGCACTTCATTTATTTTTCACAAGTGCTGTGATGATTTATTTATTTATTTTTTTGTTTTTGATGCACTTACTGAAAATAAATGACTAAACCGTCAATTTATTAAGGTCAGGATTTCTCCCCTGTCACCAGAGTTGGCCTTTTTCTCTGCAACTGGCATGATCGTATTTGTGGCCACTTGTTGAGAGGTTTCTTGATGATAGAAAAGGAGAAATCAGAAAATGGAAGAAGTTTTATTATTCAGAAATTGTATTATTCAGCCCTGAAACCATTTGTTTTTAGTCACTTGTGAGTTTCTCTCACTGTATGTGTGTCTAATTACACCATGAAAACTAGAACCATGTGCATGAAATTGATTACATGGACATTTGACTGCAATGGGTTTGTGTAAATTAGAATAGAACTTTATTCCCTCTCTCTTCTCTTTCCCAAATACTCTGGAGCATCAGTATGAGCTTTTCCATGAATATTGGGTTCCATCAGTGGTGGTGAATCCATATGTAATGACATCCATTCCTGGAACCATCAACTCTATGATCTGTCTCTGCTAAAACTAAAACTATTAGAGAGAAGCAGCAGCTCTCCTATTTCATTACTGAAAAACACAACAGTAGGATCCTATTCCACTTTTCATCTTTCAGATATCTTCACCTCACACTTGGAGAACTATGGGGACATTTTCCTCCCACTCTTCTCTTTCTACAACTCCTCTTTAGGTGTGTGAATTTATGTGGGAAGTCGTTTGTGTCTAGCAAGAGATTTATCTGCCTTAAAATCATTTTAATGCATTAATAGGAGCATAGTTGACAGCAATCTTTATAATTAATCATTTCATTTAGGATATGGCTATGAATTATTAAATAATTTTAGCTATAAATACAAAAATGTTTCTCTACGTTAGTGGCACAATTTTTGTAGTTAAAGCAGCACTATGTAACTTTTGGCGCTCTAGGGGTTA